TTGTTGCTTACATGGTACAAATATTATTTAAGAATGTAAACTTGTTCTCAAAAAGACAACTAAATTCCATAATTCAGTATTCTGTCGAAACTGCCAGACGCGGATCGCGATTTCGATCTTTTTGGATCTCATCAGCGCGTCGGATGGAACTTGTTGGAGCATACGTAATCCTAAAATGTAGCATTGTACCACAGATGGCGTTTACAGCGCCATTAGTCGTATTTTTTAATATAAAATATTTAATGAAGTTGTTGTATACAGGCTTATACATATTTTTGAATGATTGCGGACGACGGGACGAGAACGCTATAAAAAACGTCGCGGCGTTTAGAACACGGCGTCGGCAGGATTGAATAAAATAATCAAATGATATAAAAGACGAAATACGTATGGAATAATATTAAGAATTATGAAAACTGTTACTTATTAATCAGATTCGTTTTAATAGCGCGTGTCAAAGAAATAGCCGATGTCATCAAAAGTTTAATTTGATGGACGTTAGCCGCCATATTGGAAGCGGGCAAAATGTTATAATAATAAACTTTGGAATTAAAATAAATTAAATTCAGCACCCAAAGGGTCCGACGGAACCGTATTGTTAACAAAATAGGGGACAAAACAAAAATTGGTGCCGTTTTGAAAATCTGGATGAAAAGTGAATTTCCCACTTGGAACTTTTTAATTTTAATAGGAAGATTGTTTGTTATAAACAATTTTAAAATAAATCACAAAATCACTCTTATTATTCTCCATAGATTATGTAACATCATTAATAAGTAACACGTGTCTCAATCAGTCAAAGGATTCGATAAGAATTGAAATAGAATTTAGTTTTATAGAATAACCTATTTACACACCTTCTGTATTAAGAGAATTATATTTTATCAGTTAGAAAAAATAATTATCTCCAGTCGATTAAAATTTAAAAATCAACAGAAAAAAAAATTGGAAAAAACGCCGCGAATGTTTTCGTTTTCAAAAACATTCATCGTGTCAAAGATGGTATGTGTATTGTCCAGACATTTTCAAAATATGTGTCATTTCATGATTTCAAAATAATTTACGTATTAGACACACATATACATATGTATATAATATATCCGTATATGTATGTAAGTATGTATGTATGTGGGCATATATTATATGGGTTTACTAATGGCGAATAGATACTACCACAGCTACAAATGAAATATCCGTATCTATTTTTGAATTTTGTAAATATTGTGTCGTTTAATCATTTCCATCAAATATTACGTTAAAGTTTAATCAGAATAAAGACAAACCCAAGGTTTGAGTAAATTTCCAAAATGGCAAATTTGGGTTCTAAACGAAGACTAGCTCTAAATTGATTGCTTCGTTCCCCTGTTAAGTTCAACTTGGTATGAAACGGGCCAAACCATTATCGCGAAAAAGGGGAGTAAACCGCTCAACACAGTTATGTTATTATAATATAAAGTCACGTGACTAATTTATTTTGTCTCGCTTGCGCAACAAACCCAAACGGATCTTTCGTCTCTTTCGCTCTTCGCTGCTCGCATTGGGAAAACCTGAATTTTCCATGTTGTCTACTGCCATTCTTATGAAATTGATAATATACAAAAGGAAACTGTTTACGAGTAAATTCAAATGCGGTTGTCGCATTCTGTGCTTGTTTTTTAAAAATTGCGGAAAATATCCCGATTCGCGCCAGTTACAAGGCGCACACTCTTTCCGACTACTTTGCCGAACATGCACGAAACCTTTACATCTTTACATGACATCATGTTTCCATTTATTGTTAATAAGAATTATTTTAATGGCATACAAAAACGATTAAAGAAGAAAAGTCGATAATGTGCCAGTAAGACGAAAACTTTCAATGCCATGTTTGTGAAAATTAATGGAATGACAAAAGGATGTTCTAACCTCGTTTAAGTCGTTCTGCCTGTTCAGCTGTAAGATCCCCCGGTTGAAGCACGACCACGGTCGGTTGTTCTTCAGTGGTGTCTTGTAGGTCTTCTTCCGACACTGGTCCTAAGTCTTCACGCTAAAATGACACGTCATGATAAAATTTTTCATAAAATCAAAATTTAACCTAACCTACTTTCGTGTCTACTGTGGGGCCCTCCTTATAGCCAATTTGTTGTTTCAGTTTTTTCAAAAAACTCGGTTCTTCCGGTCTACTAAATGCTACGTTTCTTCTCTTTGACATCGCAACATTTAACCAGGGGTGGTTAAAAGAAACGTGCACAATTTTTTTCTTAAAAAGGTAAACCAAGTTCGGAAAATAGCACTTTCAACGCGACAATAAACAGTATGGCCACTACAGCGGCAAAAGTAAAACGGGTTGAAAAGCGGCCCCTGTGTTTCGTTTCATTTTTCCTTCACGTTAGCTCAAAACCTTTCTCCTGATTCGTTTGCTCTATCCCAGTATACACGTCATCCCGCGTGGTTTTTTCAAACGTCGGAAACCGAAATGGCATGGGCTGACGTGAAGCAATTTAATACGGGACAGAGAAGTTTCCTATGTATAATTTTTAAAGTTCGCTTCGCTTCACGTAACTCCCCATAAAGTTTTCCGTTTACAATTTTGTCAGTAACTTTTCTCTTTTTTTATAAACAAATTATAATTATAATTATAGACAATTATTATCAATAGATATACATATATATGTATCTCATTAAATATTTATTAGTCAAAGCCCAAGTTTTATTATCATGGTACCATTAATGAACCATAGGTTTTAGCATAATTGTAAGAAATACTTTTCCAAAAGTTTTATTAAGTAGCACCTATCAAATTTGTTTTAGATTTTAAGATTTATTACTGTTTTTCAAAGTTTTATATACTTATGACATTTCCAACTTACAATTTTTATTTAGTTAGATACTTCTCTTGATTCAATCCTTATCTTAACTTTTAGGAAACTCGATTCTATAATAGTTATGCTGGGTACTGTATGTTATTCCTCGAATAACTTTTGAATCGTTTTACTGTTTTATCTCAAATTGAATCAATTAGAACTTCAGCGCCTTAGAGCTATTAGATAATTGTAAGAACAAAAAAATTAACATAAAATGCGGCACTTTAGTGAAAACACATGTTTTTAGCTGTCTGGAAATGCATTAGAAAATGTTTCTCAAAATCCCATTTCAAGTTCACTTACCAGAAACCACATAACAAGTATGACGTCAGGAACTAATCAATATAAAGATTACTCTGTTAAATTGAAATATTGCATAGTTTGTAAATAAATTATCACAGGGGCCCGAATATATGGAAAGTAAAAAAGTTAAAACCAATTTGCGTTAATAATATTTTGCCTATGATCTTTTACACGTTGTAATAAGGAGAAGAAATGGAATCTGCCTATTTAATAGAGAGGCCTAGCTAGACGTTAGCCAACTGCCTCGCGCCTTAGGGACCCATGAAAAAATCACCATTCTACAAAAAAATTGTATAAGTTAGCAGCACACATGGGGTCAGTAGCATTTATCAAGTGTTGACTAGCAACACTAACAGTTATGGGATTCCCCAGCCAAAGCACTCATATCCAGGCCAGGATTTTATTTAAAAAAATATATGGGATTCCCAGCCTCCTTCAGTTTTGCTTATCAAGCAACATCTTTTAGAGTTAATTTTATTATTTGTTAGTAGTTTTTTTAACAAAAATATGAAAAAGACCTCGTAGTCTGTATGTGTTGCCATTTCTACTCCCATATGGAATTCCAAAATGACCGTCATAACTAAAGGCATACATTATACAAAGTGAAGATAGCTAACTTTTTTAGAAAAATGTAAGGCACTGTATTAACAGACTGGTACAAAATTCAGTACCTACTGTATCCGATGTAAATAGAAATGATAGCAACTATAGGAATTATTCTTCCTATCATCGCATTTCTCGAAAAGTAGAGTAAATTACGATACCCCTCTAACTATTTGCGAACAGTAATCTAATCATAAGTAAGGTCTACCTCTACCTCCTCTTAACTACTGTTTCTGCTTCTAATGTCTCTAACCAGCCTTTTAAGTCTGAATATACATATGCAAATTTTAAATTTAAAATAAAAATTTGAAGTTGTTGCAAATATGTGATGTATATATTTATAAAAAAATAGTTACATTTTTCGTCACTATCGTGTTATCTATTGTCTAGTGCTAAAAATGCGGCAGTCAGTACCATCTCTGTGAACGTTTTATAGTCAATATAAGTCATTATAATTATTACATTTAAAATTAATTTTCATGCTCTCCTTACTGGTTTCAAAAAGGCTTCTCCAAAGTAAAGAAAGTGGAAAATGGAACATGGATGTTTTTAAATCAATTGAAATTTCAAATTTCTATTTTCTTTTATGCCTCCAAATTTATTGATTAGGCACTCTATTATGTTTCAATATTTTTAATGTGTTTTATATTTATATCTAAATTATCTTTTTCTTTGTGGTAGGATTATAATAAAACTACTTTACTCAATACACAACACACGAAAATCTTATTGTAATTTTATTTATCCTTTACTATCATATGAGCAATATTTGTATATTCCTTATTTGTAATCAGGTTCTCGAAAAAAGTTCCAATAATTGCTATGAAATTTACAGTATAGGGGCTTATCGGGGGGGGGGGGGAGGAATTTGACGAAGTTACATTTCCTTTCTGGGAAAATTAATTACCACACCATAGTGTGTGAGTTCAAAACCTGTAATGTGGTTAGAGGTTTTTAGTTATTTTGTATTACTCTTATCACAAAAGGAAGGGAATGACGAATGAAGCGCTTAATACATTATATCATTCAAAATGTAGTTACTGTGCTACCCGGGTTCAATACAAATCTAATGCAATATTTTCTTTTTCTTCTTGTTTTAAGTAAAAAAATTAGCCCTCAGGGGAAATCCAAGTCATTGTTATTATAACTCATTGTGATGGAACTACATAAAACTGCAAGTACCTTATTCTCAGCTTGTTGGGCACTATTTAACCACAAAAGCTTTTAAATAACGAAATAAAACAAACAAGCTAACTTGTAAGTGTACAAATCTTTATATTCAATAAAAAATTATAAAGATTCAAGCGCATATGCAAGTATAACAACGTACCTATATAATAACAAAATTGTTTCGAACAAAAATACAAAACATATTTCAAGTATATTTCAAGCGTTATTACAAATACTGACTAAAAGATGTCGTTATCAAACACAACCCGAAACGTGGACTCATTCCGTCCGTTAACCACCCCTGCACACTGATTATTTATTTATTTATTTATTGATTAATATTATCATTATAATAAATAACTGTCTTTGCATTCTACAGTCTCGTTGCTTCAGAACTTGTTGATATCGAAACCCTTTGTAAATCGCCCCTGGTCATCCTCCTGGTGCTGTAATATCCCATGTTTGGATCAGTGGGACTTATCACACTTTGACGAGGACTTTGGAAGAAACGACCCTCGACTGACATGGGACCGGGGGATATCGATGGATCGACACAGTCACATGAAATATTGGAATCTGATAGGATTTCGTTTGAGTATTTCGGGACAGAAAGGAGGCTTTCCGTGGATTTGGTGGGAGGGATGTACCTCCTTTGAGAAGAACAATTCCCGTACATAGAAGATGACTGATTAGAACAACTGCTGGTAATGGTGCATTTTTCTGTGCAAACCCTAAAGTACTGTGGAGCCTGGGACACGGTCATTTTAGTACTATAAGTCTTTTGCGCCGGTTTGGAGCATTTCGTTGTATCCAAGTAACCATATCCAAAACCATAACCACCGAATGCTTTTGTAGCCAAGTTATCCCAAGACTTGGGCTTCACCGGGGGATATTGGGGGTATGCGGATTCGTAGCTGTGGGTGGTGGATGATGGGTAGCGTTGGTAATCGTGTTTGGTGGAGGATTTCACGCTAGGTTGTTTCGAACCCATGTCCCCTGATCCGTCCCAATAGAGGGTGTCGGTACTAAGGGATGTTGAATAGCTAGCAGTGCTTTCTCCGGTAGTTGTTGGAGCTATTCCACTTATTTCACTAGATGTGCACGAATGCAAACTACATTGACTAACTAGACCCGCGCCAAATTGAAGATACCTCCTTGGACCGCTTATTTGTTGATGAGTGCCAGGATACTATCAGAAAAAAAGTTTTACAATTGTTATATCTTAGCAATAAACAATAAAAAAAAAAATACAACGTGTAATTATACAACACGCTACTGAAGTGAAACTTCTTCAAACACACAAACATACCGGGATAGGGGTTAAGGAATCGGTTTAATGGTATTATTTGTACACTATGAATTTAAATTTTACACTATATGTGCCGGAGTTGCCTGTAACGAACGTTGCATTGAAGCGCGTTCACGGCTCAAGCGATCCCCCTTATGAACTCGACTACGTGGCTGAGTAGAGGGGGACATCCGTTGCATGATTTCGTTACATAGCAACTCGCATGAAACGAGCTTGCCCTACCGTGCGTACAGAAGATTCACTTCAAAAATTGAAAAGTTTAACAGTTTGACTATTAAAATAATGTTCATGGTAATTGACACTGGATATTATTTTGGGGTAGGCTATGTATTCCTGTGTGAAAAGCACAAAAAATTTAAAATATTTTGAAAAGTGGTTTTACCTGGGCTTGTGCGTATTGGGTTTGAACTCTTGGTTTCTGCTGGGTATCTTCTGTCTGGGTCTGGGTTTCTTCGGTTCTAGAGTCTCTCTTTCTCACTTCCTTATGATTCCTGGATCTTCTCCGTGGATTAGGAACACAATGAGGGTCACAGCAAGGACTGGCCAAATCATAAGCCTCTAGGCTGGCGTTATCACCATTATTGTTACCCTGTATACAAGGGTTGCAGACGTAGCTGTGGCACGTATCAAAAGATTTTTTTATCTTTGTATTCGTGCTATCTGTCTGATTAGCTTTGTTGTATTTTTGCGTCGAATCGCATGGTGTTTTTACTAGAAAATGTTGTTGTTCACTTTGATACCGAGGCGGTTTGAAAGACAAAAGGTACTCCCCACTACCTATGGTAAATTAAAGAAGACATGTAGCAATTACATATACGTAATTGCATTTTTGATGAAGCGTTATTATATCTAGCATCACGTGTGAAAAAGAGAAAAGGATGTTTCATCGGGTCGGAATCGAACTCGGACCAGGCTAGTTTTCTTGTAAAGTTCATCTAAGTTACGATGTTTTCTGAATTATAAAAATAATTATTTATTTTCATACCTGACGATGGCTGTAAAACATATTGATAACGCGGATCCAAATATTGATAAGCGAGCATAGCAGTTTGTGGAGGGGGTTGTTTCTGTTGAATTTTCGCTACGTCTTCAGTAGAAACAGTAGGCCGACAGTAAAGATATTGGGGTTGCGTAGGCGTTACGAGGTCTCCAGTGTCCGTTGCATGGGACGCTTTTTTTCTAGCTGGTAAGCTGTGTGTCTTCCATTTTCCTTCAAGAAGTTGTCTCTCTCTGATGCACAGCTTCTCCAATTCGGTCATTTTACTTTGGAGAATCCTCTGCAACTGGATATATCTCATGTGGAGTTCCACCTACAACAAAAAATTAATTAGTTATGTCCCCTAAATTTGGGCCTCTAAAAAGAGGGAATCCCAGGAATACTACTTTAGGTTATACTTACTTTTCTAACACAATCTTCAAAAAGCACCACCATTCTCATTCTAGAATCACAGTTTTTGATGAAATTGACTAGAGTTTTATGATCAGCTTTTTCCATATCGGTGCCGTTAATGGAAAGTATGACGTCACCCTCCCTCATTCCCGCCCTATAAGCCGGCCCGTCGTAGTCCACGTAATCGACATATGTTATCATTTCGATTTCTTGTTCCTTTTTATAATGGATCCCGTAGCTTTGGAGGGTGAAGCCATATGAACCATTTTTCTTTTCGACAATAATAGTACGTCTTCTTCTGTCTTCCTCCGGCTTCGTTAGTGTCACCCTGTCGGACTGGACTCTTTCAAGTATTTGGTTCTGATTGTGAGAAAAAGTAACTAACATTAACGCAACACACAAGCGGAAATCGATATTATATAGACTATTAATTATTTATCCTTAAAAATATTTATAATATCTATACATTAATAGTGAATTTTATTTTATGAAACAAAGGAAAATAAGATCGAGAAATGTACAATTAATATTAAATTATTATTGTGTTCGACGATAAAACACCCTGTATATTTATAAATTTCACGGCATATATTTATTCCATAATATATATGTTTGTATAATTTAACTTTGATTTAATTTAATGAAATTTGAATCGGGCTTACGATGTTATTTTGCAATAAATACGTAAATGTCTGATAATATAAATTGTCTCACCGAAGAGGTGCAATCGTCATCGCTTTGGTGATCGATTTGAGGCTGACTCTGTTGTTTTCTCATCGCCTCCTTCTAAAGATGAATTTTTCTATTCACGACATAATTTTTTTTCAAACGTATCACCGTCTCACGAACAAAAAGCGACATATTCGCAACTTTACTGCAAAACGATTACCATGGTATTATAAAGTGCACAGCTGTTTCTCTGTTCGATAACTGCATGAAAGGAGAGACGCCTGACGTCGGGACGCCGGCGTCGGGTCGGCCATCTTCGACAGACAACAGCTGTCGCTGGCAACGACCCTGCAGTTTTTGCGAGCAGTCGAATAAAAAAAAAGTAGGGAAAGTGAAACGGGGTCTGACACTGTCTGTTAAAAAACATTTAATAAAACTGTTCTATTTTGGAACTAGAAATTCGAACATAAGTATACGAGGCGAAAAATTAAAATTTTGCGCGAAAAACTTATTTAATTTTTATTTGATTACCTTGATTTTAAAATAGGTATAATAATAAATAATTATTAAACGGAAGGTTACATATATTTTCATTTTTTCAATGTGACTTATCCATGACGATATTCTAATCGTCAGGTAATCTAAAAGCCATGTTCTGATAAACTTTCATTATAGTTCTACATGCTTTGCATTCGCTAAGGTTTACAACACTTAACATTAGTTGAAAAGGCTTTACAATTAGCTTTCTTTACAACCTAATTTGCATTCACCTTGCGCGGTGAATTAAGTCAACAGCTTCCTTTTTTAGACATCAAAAATTAGTAATAAAGACAGTTCCATTGTTAAATGCAGACCCAGAAAAAAAAGGCGGTCTGCACATCGATGATTATATGTATTTATCAGTTTATTACAAAGAAACTATGGCTCTAATGTTTATTCATTTAAAATAAAAATGAGTTAAGAAAATATTTAGAAATAATTTGTTTGTTTACTTTTACAGGATGTGGGTAATTAAGAAGCCATCATTGGTTTTGTAATTTTCTACATTTTCCAGTAAGAAGGGTCATTATACGTAATAAACTTACATTTTGTTTATGTTTTAATTAAGTACCTAATTAGAATTTTTACGAGATTCAAAAAAACAAGCTTGTTCTTTTTGTCAATTCCTTGCAGATAAATTAGCATAACTTTTTAAATGCCAACAGACAAATATTTGATCCATAAATAAATTTTATTGCAAATACCTACCAATAAAACGACTGAAGGTGAAAACCGCAACTTGTATGTCATTAGATATAACTGGAATTTTTTTAATAACAAGTAAAATAATAATTTTGTTGAATTTTGGAGAAACTGATATTCTAAAAATTAGTTTCAAATTACAAAAAAAAATAATTATAAAAACATTAAGTTGGAACGATGCGCTAAACATATTATAGCTAATTGCGGGTTCTTACACGTGTGTTGTAATTTTTTATGCACGCAAATTTATCGAGGAAAATTAAATGACTCATGCATGCAAATGTTTTAGTTAGTTTAGCATTTGTATCTATAACTACCTAAGTACCCGTTAAAATTGGTATCACTAGGTAAACGCAAAATGTTCAGAATTAAACGAAATATTTTGAAATGTGTAAATACAAGGGCCTTGACAAATTAAAATGTTATTATTACTATTACTAGTATTATTATTAAGATTGAACGCGTACATAAACATGTACAAAAACTTTTAATTTCGAAAATTATAAATTGAAAATATAGTTTAATAGTAGCGCTTAACTGATGTATCCATCCCAAATGAAAATAGATAACTTACCTGACTGTCTAGGTCTGTATAAAACATCACAAAACGATGAAAATAGTTTTTTACTAGGACACTATTTTGAACCTACTTTTTAGACTATTAACTCTACATGCTTGTTTTATTATAACACCGCACCGCAGTCAAGTTATGACTGATCAAAATATAACTTAGCACGAGTGACGACCTTTCATTTTCATAAACAACCGCAAAATTATTATATTCTGCTCTTTTTTAATAGGTATGCCAAACAACGTATTTGAAATTGTTAATATGTTTTAAATGTTACTTTTTTAAAATCGCTTTTTATTTTCTTTTAAACTAATTTTCGGTATTTATAAATAGGATAATAGCATTAACGCGATAAAGTTCAATGTTATGACTGTCTGCAATTAAAAAAAGTATCAATTTGCATTAATTAAAATCCGATAATTTAATTAATAAAGGTTGCCTGGACAGTGTCCGCCCTCTGTTGGTTAATTAAGCTATTCAACTGATGATAAAAACAAAAAAAGCAGATAATTTACTTATCCTCTGTGCTTGAAAATACTGAAAATAACCTAACTTTTTTAAAAAAGTCCAACTGCGTGAAGTAAATAAGTTAAATGTGTAAATTATAAAACTGCATACGATATTAATATTTTTTGCTATGGAATCGAAACTGAAACGATATGAAAAAATTGAGTTTCTTGGTGAAGGTCAATTCGCCACCGTTTATAAAGCAAAAGATGTAGAAACAGGTAATATTGTAGCAGTTAAGAAAATCAAACTAGGAAGTAGAATAGAAGCAGCCGATGGAATTAATCGCACTGCTCTGCGAGAAATCAAAATTCTTCAAGAATTAAGCCATCGCAACCTGATAGGCCTATTGGATATTTTTGGTCATGGTTCAAACGTTTCGTTGGTGTTTGACTTCATGGATACAGATCTTGAAGTAATCATTAAAGATAATACAATTATTTTAACCACAGCCAATATAAAAACATACATGATACAAACGTTACAAGGCTTAGAATATTTACACTTAAATTGGATCCTTCACAGAGATTTAAAACCGAACAATTTATTAATTAATGGTAGTGGAATTCTCAAAGTGGCTGACTTTGGTTTGGCAAAGTTATATGGATCTCCAAATAGATTAAACACTCATCAAGTTGTAACAAGATGGTATCGGTCTCCAGAGTTACTATATGGTGCAAAACAGTATGGTGTTTGTGTAGATATGTGGGCTGTAGGATGTATATTAGCAGAACTATTACTAAGGGTGCCTTTTCTACCAGGAGAATCAGACCTGGATCAGTTAACGAAAATATTTCAAGTCCTAGGGAATCCCACAGAAGAAAATTGGCCAGGAGTAAAGACTTTGTCAGATTACATTGAATTTAAACCTTTTCAACCTGTACCTTTGAAGCATATCTTTACTGCAGCTGGTGATGATTTATTAGATGTGATAGCATCAATGTTTGTGCTAGACCCAAGCAAACGAAAGACTTGTACAGAGGTGCTGAAAATGCCATTCTTTAATAATAAACCAGCTCCCACTATTAATTCAAAACTACCTTTACCACAAAATGTAAGAAAACTTAAAGAACTAGAAAGGCCTTCCTTGAAAAGAAAATTACTGGATTCTGCAGAAGGAGGGACATTATCAAAAAGGTTGTTTACATGAATTCTAACCAGTCAGCTTTTAAAATATGGAAATGATTTAGTTAAATTTTTATCAAATCTTCGGATCCTACATAAACTATGAAACTACTCAGAAAATAGGAACATTTTTTTATTAGCTTAAAGATTATGAAAAAAGTGGTTTGTTTATTTAATAAATACTATTTATTTTTTAAGAACGTCAGTTATTACCTATTAGATAATTCAGTCATAAATAAAAAATAACCATTTCCGATATTTGTAATCGTTATCTTATTATTGTATTTGTCTAATTCAGTTTTTTGTTATCATTATTCACCCATGCTTGACTAGTTAAAATCTTTAATTTTTCGATTTACTTATTTTTTCTTTTTCATTAAAGAACAACAATTTAATATTAAATGTTTATTAAACACTATAAGTTGAATTAGTAATCAAAGCTGTAATCAAAATACGACGAATCAAAATTATGAACTCGGACATAACCATCTTCTCCACCTGAACTATAACTTTTTCCATCGGGGTGAAATGCGACGCTATTAATAGGTCCAAAATGTCCTTTGACCCTACCAAACTCTTCTTCAAACACTAAATGAAAGAAACGCGAATCAAACTTTCCAATTCTAGTAGATGTTGTTGTAACATCCATAGCATCTTGGCCACCCCCTAGTACAACATGCTCAAAAATGGGACTAATTGCCGCTGAGTTAACAGGTCGTTCTGTTTTATATGTTTTAAGCAACATCAAGTTGTCACTGTCAAACAACTTTGCAGTATGATCTTTTGATGCTGTTATAAACATGGTTCTATCTTTTGAAAACTGCATGTCATTTATCTGATTAGCGTGCTCTTTTGTACTGTTCAACTGCTTTCCTGTCTGAAATAAAAACTGCAGTTAGTACCTACCTATAAAAGTCAAAAGGAAATTAAAGTGTTTACCTTTAAATCCCATTGAATTATTTCACCATTTTCATGACCTGTGATTACTGTTTCATCAAGAGTGCCCCACAGTAATGATGATACTCTTGGTCCATTGACTGGTATTCTCAAAATGGGATCAGCATCACCAATGCTGTCATCTGCATTTCTAACATCCATAATAAATATCTCACATATATTTTTCATAGCTTTGTCAGTAACAAAACAGGCCATGTTTGCAGAATAACTAAAGTTACATGCCCTTACAGATGAATTTGTCGAGATATTTCCAATCTGTTTGCCAGTTTCACAGTCCCATATTATTAATGCGTTATCACCACCACCAGACATAAATCTAATAAAATATGCAGAATGTATTTAAATAGTACAAAAAAAATTTTTTGTTTATACCTTGATGTAGTATAATCCACATCGATACACCAAACAGCTCCTCCATGACCATTAAAGGTACCCAACCGTTCACCATTAAGGGAAAACCACACATTTGGTTTGTTATCTTTTGAAGCTGAAAATAGCAAATCACCCTCACGATTATATTTGATTTGAGTTATTGCACGCTCGTGACCGTGGAGTAAAAGTGGCTTCTAAAATTCAAAAAGCATACATAAGATGGGTACTTATCCTGACATCATTTGCATTCTTACGAGTACGATAACTTACCATGTTTCTGGCTTTATACCACTGATTTTGGCAAAACTAAAATATGTATCAATTTATTAATTATTTTGTTTAAGAGAAAACAAACAATAATCAATAAATACAACAAATTATTCACCAATTTAATATACTATTTGCACAATATGACCATACAGCATTTTAATAACCTAAAAAATCATAAAGGTTATGTATGTTCACTGTATGATCATATCTATGGACGTTTATAGTCTGTTTTTCTTCAAGACCATAGATAATAGTTCAAGACTAAATCCTAGTCTAGGACTAAATCTTTATGGCCAATTAAATATACAATGTGGCACAAAAGCACCTAATATAAAAATAAAACATCGGGTTTGACATCTACGGTATTTTTTTATTGAATAGCTTTAGATTTATAAAAGTGAGCTTCGCTCAAAATATTTACTAGTGACAAAGTAAATATTTAAAGTACTGCCGTAAGAAAGGGCTGTAAAATTTTATTTAAATCGTTACATTAAGAAAACTATAAAGCATTCATCTTCTGACATGAAAACGACCTTATGGTTTTTCTATTTGTTGAATGTTTTAGTAATTAGAAACACCAATACTTTAGTATGTGAAGAATGCGACGATAATTTCGATTGCGAACCAATGAAATGCATGGACAAATTAGGAAATCAAGTTTGTCTAACCAGAAAAATAGAAATAAAGCTTGCGAATAAAATTTACAGAATATTTCAAAAAGGTTGTGCAGATATAAATTTATGTATAAATTGGACCAACAGTGTAGAAGAAATTAGGAAATACTTTCCTAAAGCTAAAGCTATTGAAATTAAAGGTTGCGACGTTTGTTGGGATGATGAATGCAACTTCACAAAAAGTAAAAAAGAAGCTGACGAAATTTTGGAGTATGATACATTTAAAGATGTGTATGCACTTTATTTGGACCACTACTCCAAAATGGAGCAATGAAAATATAAAAAATTAAAATATACTTGTTTAAATAATGTTTAAAATACTTGATTTATGATTAGTTTCAAATTAAAATTAATATTATTTTAATTAACATCAGAGTTTACTTATATTGTTTGAATTTTATTTTTATTTTATTTTACAGAAGATAGGACCAAATTCTCACTATCAATAGAGAAACTTAAGGTGTTAAAAAGTTAGATTTAATGAAATATATATTTGTGACAGGTTGTATGTATTAATTTGACATTTTCGATGTTTGGGATGTTTTGTATTTATTTGCTTACGTCAGTTGACGTTTAATTTAATTTTAATTATGTGTCATTGTTCTCCTGCATTGTTTCAGTACTGGAACTGAATGAAAAGCAAATATAATAAAATTTATACTTTATAATTCGCAAATGATACCAAACGAACGTTGTATGTGATTTATGAAAACGTTTAAAAATATACTTTGTACAACTTTCAGAACACAATGGTTGATGAAAATCGTATTCGGCAATGGTTAACCAGCGCAAACGTAAGTTTATTTTTTTCAATACTTAATTCCTTATTCTAATAGAACTTTTAAGTATCACAACCCTGATATTACATTACGAGAAATTTTAAACGTGGTGAAACATTACCCTGGACTGACTCCTTTAAATGAGACATATAGTAAGTGATAAATGTGTAGCCCATTCTTAAATATGGTATATAGCTTTCTTATTTCAAGTGTTTAATGATGGAACCCAAATGGACTTAGTAAATTTAGGTGGCACAATACCAGTAAGATATAAAGGGAATGTCTATAATATTCCGATATGTATATGGTTAATGGACACTCACCCTAAGAATGCCCCTATTTGTTATGTTAAACCAACATCAGACATGGCTATTAAAGTTTCTATGTTTGTAGATCAAAATGGGAAAATATATTTGCCTTATCTACATGATTGGGTTCCAGTAAGTTCTTTCTCTAATTATTTGTATTTAAAGGCTCCTTTACTTTTCAATCAAATATAGATCATACTTCATTAATACTCAGTTGTGAAAACTTTAATTTCATAAGGTTGAAGTTTTTATAGCTTCAAACTAATTTTTGTTTAAACTTTTTTTGCAGCATACATCAGATCTATTGGGATTAATTCAAGTAATGATAGTTACATTTGGTGAACAACCACCTGTTTTTGCAAAACCAAAAGATGATGCACCGTATCCATCTTCAAGTACTGTTTTTTTGTGTGTATTGTTTTTTATTTTAATAATTTTGCCCTACTTTTAGCTTATATGCCACAGCCAGCTAGCAGTTCATTCCTACCTTATCCTGCTGCATCTTCCTATCAACCAGGAGGATATGGAGGCTATCCTCCATATCCTCCCGTAAGCTCTTCTGCATTTCCTTCATACCCACCGTACCCCACCCCTTCTTATCCACCATATCCACCTACATCATCTTTCCCAGGAATCAAACCTGCACCCCCTATTCCTGGTAGTACAGGAACTATTAAGGATGAACATATTCGAGAATCACTTTTAACAGCTATAGAAGAGAAACTTATGAGACGAATGAAGGAACAATTTCAACAAAATCAAGCTGAATTAGACACATTGAGAAAGACTCATGAAGAATTGAAACATGGTAAAGCTAAACTAGATTCCATGTTGCAAGCAATGGAAAAAGAAAAGGTACTACTTTATAATTAGTAAAATACATAATTAGGTAAAACAGCATAACATTAGTCAGGCATACAATGTAGCAGAAATAGAAACTTCCTTTCTGCCAATAGTTTTTGTGGAATGCATACACATTGACAGCCCTAGCTATCTTTATTTATTTAGATTATGAATCACAAAACCGCAACTTATCACACTTGAAATAATCCATTTCATCATTTTCATTTGTTTTTATCATTTATAATGGAGGGATTTAAGTTAATTTAACTGAAGTTTGTTTTTTGCAGAGTGATTTGGAAAAAAACATCCTCTTACTAAAAGATAAAGAACAAGAATTGGAAAATGCAATTGAGAGACTCAGTAACCAAGAGTCTATAGATGTCGATGATGCTGTGATTACTACGGCTCCTTTATACAAGCAGTAAGTCCATTTTTTATTATTTGCGCCTGATAGAAATACTTTAATTTCAAATTATACATTATCCTTTACTAAACGTAAAGATGCATATATTTTTTTTAAATGTAAACACTTTAAGGCTACTTAATGCATACGCCGAAGAAGCTGCTATTGAGGATGCTATTTATTACATGGGAGAAGCTTTACGGTGTGGTGTTATAGATTTGGATGTATTTTTGCGACAAGTTCGAATGTTGTCTAGGAAACAATTTATGTTACGAGCTCTGATGCAAAAGTGTCGACAAAAAGCAGGTTTAGCTGCCTAATTAATTATTAAGCAATATCGTTAATTATAAATTTTAATTACTATATATAAAATCAATTTTATTATTATANCAAAACAAAAGATGAAATATAAAAATAGTATACTAGTACTGTAATATATCAATAGCAATTTGCAGCATGTTTTCAGGGTGATAGAACTTGTAAAAGTCTGTTAAAGAAATAAAAAAGGTGATAACACTTTTAGCTTTAAACTTTTTTGATTTCAAAGTTAAATTTGAAGTGGCACATTTGCTCATTAATTCTAATACAACAACAAATCGTTTCAAATGTAATCCTGTAGTTTTTATTTCGGTTATTACATAATATCCTTCTGCGGAAGCCGCTAAAGTTATGTTAAAGTAGAAAATATGATTGTGAGCAATTATTGTAAAATTGCTTTGTGGAATTGAGTAAAAACTAAGTATCTTTTTGTCTGACGAATCAGTAGCTTTGTGCCTTTTAAAATAATGTTTCAGTAAGTCATTAAAAAATCCAGAGTATTGACAGTCTGGATAAAAACATTTGAAAGGTTTTCGCTTATATGTTGTCTTTCCTGAAGATGTGTTGACACATGCATCTTCACTATATGCTGATGAAATATTCTCATTTAAATCCATTACAATGTACTACATCAGTTTTGGCCTTCTGTGTTCTTGTTCAAGAATAATTTAGTCACATCCAATACAAATTCTATGGAGTACATTTTATTTGTCTCTTTGTAATGAGCAATGTTTATATAAAATTAAGATGGAACTAGTTACACTTTTAATTCTATTCTCCCCCTTTAATGTAGCCAATGTTTTTGCCCAAAAATATATTCTACTTTTAATAAGTGTATAAATAATTTAATGCAATTATATATTATTGTTATTAGCCATTTGTAAATAAAAACTGACAAATCAAATGAATGTTTAATATGGCATTTGCTGATTATAGATTGTAAAAATCAGACTGTTTATATTTAAAATAAATAATATACATTTGGGGAATGTCACGATGTATAGAAAAAAACTTAATATACAATATATAAAATTATTAATGAAACAGTAAGACTTTTATTATACGTAAATACCAACAGAAAGCAACAAGAACATAATTCCAAATCCAGAAAATACTGAAGCTACTAATGATAAAAGTAATTCTTTTTTAAGATCTCTGGTAAGTTTTGTACTTGTTACTTCGTACACAAAGAACCAAGCTGTGAAGAAAATGCCTATTCCCAACAGAACAAATGTTAGATGTGGAAAAACATTTGGGTTTACTGGAGAAATATAACGTACCATATTTTCTGTATCAATCTAGAAATTAAAAATGTTCCTTTAAAAATTACATGACTTATTAAACATAAATATTACCATTTTGAAAATATGTGGAGGTTATGGAATTTGTTTTTTAAATATACTGAATTACAGGTAAATAGTTTTGTTGTTAACTCCGCAAAATGATTATATGATAATTAATAATTTCCAAGTGGTTTACACATAAAACGTGGCACAACGAGCACAAAGCAGAATTAATACCGGTGCAGTGAAATCAGTACCCACGTTAACAGTTCGTTTATCAGTTTATCAGTATCAGAAGCGATCAGAAGTTAGCCATAGATAATAGAAGTTAGCATTAAATGGCATTAAGTAGTAGTTAGAGATATGGCGTTTCCTTATAAAAAGTATTTCTGCATTCTATGGGCCTCATTTATCGCAAATAGTCTTCCTTACCCTTTGTGTATCTATTATTTATGGCAAATAGTCTTCAAAAAAGCATATCTATGATTGTCAAAAACTAGTCAATTTTCTTAAAAAGGACTGCTTAATTCAATAAAATCAACTTATTTTTTTAAACCAGTGCTACGAACTTAAATCATAATAATTGAGTTAAGATAAATCATTAAGCATTATTAGTGAAAACCATGAAAAATGAGGATAAATAGTATATAATGGCGATTGTGGGTTGAAACCTGACAGGTGTTTCCAGTAGACCTGTTAATAAATTGAATTATAATATTAAACAATTGTTCTCCTGAAAAGAAGACCTCAAAATATTTATGTCATTAGTGCAACGATTAAGTTTTATAGTTCCTTTGATGGTGTGTAAAGCAATGTAGAAAATATAACCCTTAACCCAATTTCTCTTAAGTATGCTTCAAAAAATACAAATCTTATTTTCATCTGAGTGCTCCCTATGTTTGTGAGTCAAATTTCCGAATAACCAGTATTTTTAACGGAATGCTGTTCGATAATAATAGTAATACATTAAATAATTCATTTTATGTGGGATGAATGAGGAAGACTTATTAAAAAGGTCGGCTGAAGAGCGAGATAAAATATTTAAACGTTATGACCGAGGTAGAGAAGAAGGAGCTGAAATTGATCCCTGGGAAGATCCCACATTTGAAGTATATCATGCAACTGACAGGTTTGTAAATATGAAAAGTACAGAAATTTATTCCACAATTACCTTTTTAATTTTTTACTTTTTTGTTACATAAATCTAAAAATTTAATCTTAACATTGTGTTAATAAAGTTAAATAAGTGTCGAAAGTTTTATTTGAAATACACTGTGATGCTTTATGCTACAGTAGTCACTTTAATGGCAAGACACCGTTAGCAATATATATTTTACTTCTGTATTTTGTATATATAGGGCTATTTGCCCTATGATTAAATAATAAATAAATAAACTATCTATATAAGTTTTATTCTGCCTAACAGGTATGGCTTCATTCATGATAAACGGTTACCATCAAAAGTGGACCCGCAGGAAGCTAAAAAGCAACAGATTGAATTGGAAAGAGTTAAAAAATGGCGTAAAATGTTAAAGTCATGGAACTCTTCTGTTACTAAAGAAAAATTGCACAAACGTGTTTTCAAAGGCATTCCAAACTCTTTACGTCCACAAGTTTGGTGTCTTTTATTAAGTTTAGATAAAACCAAAACAGAAAATAGGGGAAAATATGATGAAATGTTAAAATTAGCTAGAAAATATTCTACTGATGCTAGACAAATCGATTCTGATGTCAATAGGCAGTTTAGAGAACATCTTTTTTATAGAGAACGATATGGAATAAAACAGCAATCTCTTTTTAAAGTATTAACCGCTTATGCAATGTACAATTCTGAGGTATTTGTTATTACACTGAAAATAAATCTTTTGCAATTTTATAATTATAATTTGTAGGTGGGCTATTGCCAAGGGATGTCTGGATTAGCAGGTGTACTTCTCATGTACATGGATGAAGAAGATGCTTTTTGGGCAATGCATATCTTATTGACCGATCCAAAATTCTCAATGCACGGTCTTTATAAAGAAGGCTTTCCGAAATTGACACGCTTTCTTGCTCATCATGATCGTATATTAACGAAATTTATGCCAGGTCTTAAGAAACATTTTGACAAGCATGGACTCGATGCCATTCTATATTCATTGAAGTGGTTCTTTGTTTGTTTTGTCGAAAGGGTAAGTTATTACAGATGCAATAAAAATATGATGTTATTTTAATACAACTGAACTGTAATAATTTTTGCAAAAGTTATTGATATAACATTTGCAAATTTCAATAAAATCTAGAGTTTAAATTGTTAGAAGTTGTCAGTGTTTAAAAACAAAGTATTGTAAGAGTAAAAAGTGCTTAGAAGTGAACTATACCAATTTCTATATTATAAACATGCTTTAAATTCAGAAGAGTAATTATTTATTGCATTTTTTTCGTGGTGTTTATAACTTATTTATAATATATATACATTATATTTAAAAATAATGTGATAGCATACTTTTTATTATTCTACAACATCGATTTTTTTTAGGTGCCATTTAGTTTGTGCCTTAGGATATGGGACATCTACTTACTGATAGGAGAGCGAGTCATCACTGCAATGGCTTTCACAATACTTAGACTGCACAAGAAAAGTATCATGAAACTGAATGATATGGACTCAATTGTACATTTTATTCAGGTAAATACATTGTTCCTTTTATAGTATAAGTTTTATTTCCACATTGAACATTTAGGGATTTATGTGCTGATTTCTTCCGCTAACTTAAATTACATCACATAACTTTTCTGATTTTAAGATAATTAACAGTATATAATAGAATATTTGGAAAGAAACAATTAAAAACATAGTTAAAAAGTAGTCCAGATCATAGCTTAGCATTTGGAGGTACGCCGGTTCAGTTCTGGGTCTGTCTACCCTGTTCCACGTTTTTCTGTAGTTTTGTTGAATTTTCATTTCTTTTCTCTTTCACCATTACTAGCTGGTGGGAATGAAATACACAAAAGTTAATTTGTATTTCCTTATCATTTTTTTTGTAGGTAAAGTTGTACAAAGATTTTATGTACGACGATGATTCGGCAGTCCACGCTTTAGAACGCGCTCTTGAGGACTTGAAACGTGCCAAACTCGACCATCCGGGGCCTCCGACCAAAGACGAGATTCCCAGCCGCCCCTTCGGGGTATTCATCGAACCCACGGTCGATCAGATAATTGGACACCGGGCGGAAAAGTTTACAGAGAAGGAACGCGAAACGAACACTTTGGTGGTACTTCGACGCGAAGAGGCGCGCGAGGCCCTTGAAAACGACGTTCAATTGTCCGTTGGTGATTCTGCCGGTCTCACAGGTACTGACGTAGACGATGAAGTCGACGATTACGACGATGACACCGTATTCGCATGCGACACCTCACTAGAAGAGAGTGAATGTGGGAGTGGTAGTGTACATTTTGAATGCACGAGACTGTAGATGCTTCAGTTAGCAAAGAAAATGTTCAGTTCCTTACACCACTTCTAAGGAAGTTCGTATTTCTTAAAATGATGGAAATTTAATGAAATTTTTGAAATTTCAAGTTACATATACGTATATCCTTTTGTGAAGATTTATTAAAAATCTACCTTTCACCGTAAAATTACTTACAGTTTGAACAATTATTTTAAAGCAAATGTTTTCTAAAAATCTAAAACAGTGATAGACTTTTTTAAACAAATATGTACAGATTGTATGGTTTCTTAAGTTTTCATAATTTTTATGAAAGATGTGCAACTTTCTTAAAGAAATAAAATAAAAAGAAAAATTGAATTAGAAACACAATGATTAATGTTAAAAAACGAATTGAACTCAACTTAATATACTTTTCTAAAACATCTGCTTAAGTAGTAATTCTCTTTTAAAATTAATTCGTATTTTTATAGCCTTTGAAAATTTGATAATTCGTGACACATTTTAAATCTAGATTAAAAAAAAAATTGATCAACATGGGCAAATTATAAAGAAAATTAATATAAAACTCTAACTGTAATCTTTGTGGTCCTATTTTTCATATTTTCAGTTTTTATTTTTTGTGTAGCAAGGACACTGGACATAGCGAGAATAAATAATTGTGTACACCTTCGGGTCCTTAGAATGAAAAGCTTTAACGATAAGTTTCAAATCTATCGTGTATTATGTGATTATTTAACTATGACTGAATGCTAGTGAGATATCTTACTTCAACACTCCCCGAAAACATTGCAATAGTTTTCATTATACAAAGCGCAACAGATCCAATACTTGTTTCTGATACTAATTTTTTCTAATATTTCGTTTGAAACATTTGTCTTTGAAAATAATGAGGATTTCAGATTGAATCACCTGCCAAAATATTACTATCCGTCCAGTATTAATTGTACCTTTGTTAATGTTTCTCAACTACACAACAAATTGAAAAGTTAAGATCATTAATCCACTTATTAATAAAATTGTAAAGGAGCTTCATACGTATTTTAAATTTAATGCAGGGTGTAATTAATCACAGATAAATACAAAGCTTCTAATCAGTTACAATTACTAATATTTATTAATATTTTAAAGATGTTTTCAAAGAAGCATTGTTGCTAGTGGCTTATTTCTGTAAGAATTTTGAGATTCATGGTCCCTCGTGTGGCATTTTTTTACTATGAAATTTTTTTTCTTAGAAATGGGAAAAAAATAACTAATAAGTATGACTTATGAGTATGTATAAGGTAGAGTTTTAATCAGAGTTAAAATTCTCATTAGGTATATAAAAACAGTATAAGTCAGTCAAATCTATTTTACGTAATAAAATGCGTAAAGTTTAGAAATTTATCAAAATTATAAGTGAATATACAGGGTATTTGCGAAAATTGATCATTATATATAAAAAAATCTACTATTTCTTTGGTTTACATTGACTTACTAAATATCGAAGAAAAGGTACAGAGTGTGCAATTTAAATTGCATAATTAATCTTAATAATTTGCTTTAATATTTTTATGATTAAAAATTTAATAAATTGTACACACCCTGTATATGATAATTGATGGTTTTTGCATTTATATTGTAAGGACATCATTACAGTTAAGCTTTTTTTCGTTTGCATGCTTTTATGTTTTAGTTTACTGCTTGCATTAATTTGTTTATAAAATTGTTAATAGTAACAGTTTTATTTCACTGGAACGTTAACTTCGTTCTTTCTTTGCTTCATTTCGACTAACAGTAATTAATTAAACGGAATTAGGCATTAAAGGGTAAATATAATAATAGTAATAAAGAAATCACAGATTTTTGCGGTGATCCGATATCTAATTGATTAAAATTAATAATCAAAATATTAAAACATAATGTTTATTAGATATTATATTACTTTTGCCAAAGGTGCTACGAAAATTCACTTTTTTGTATTTGATAAAGATGTTCTCGAAACGAATGTGAAGAATACTTTTCCGGTTATGTGTTTTGGATTTATAGTTTTATTTCACTAGGGTCTGTTATTAGAAAGTATACTTTTTGATTTAATTATTTGAGCGTTTCTTGTATCATCAACACAGAGAAATAAATATTGTTTATTTGGTTTAGAATTAAAAACTTGGAGATACTGAAACGTTCAAATTATGTACAATATTTATCGTTTACATTTTTTTAAATCGAGAAGTTACTAATTTAATTTTGATAGCAGATCCTGATGTGGTACATATAAAAGTTGCATAAACGCTACAGATTTTGCAGATAGCTGCCTATAGTTTATTCATGCTGAAAAAAAATGAAAATGACGCCCATAACAGTGAGTTTAGTAAGTTAGCTAATTTTTTTTATTATTTCATACATCTATTAATCATTTATAACGTTTAGGATCCTACAAAATTGATCTTAAATGTTATGACTTATTAAATAAGTGTAAGGAATAATAATTTTTTTTAACAAACTTATGTAACTCACTGTTATGGATGCCATTTTGATATTCCTATCGACCCCTATACTTTTTGTTAATTTACATACTGTTAGTTCCTATTCCTTCAGGAAACGTACTTTTCAGTTAATTGGAGTTAACAATACATATTTTTTTCTAGTAGTAGATAAATGTTGAATGTATTTGATTTTTATTATTTCGTTTTTTGTTAGAAAGTTCAACGCTTTAGATTAGAGCCAAATAACTTCTAATACCTATCTGTATACTCATTATGACTTTTTCTAGATATTTTTGATGTTGTGGCTGACAAGTGTACAAAGCAGATAAAATGACTGCTCCTTTTTTTTTAATGAAACTGTGTACGTACTTATTCAATGTAAGCATGTACCTATTTGCATGTAACGGTTTTGTGATTTATACCTAGATTATCATAGGTAGACTGCTAGGTAGGTACGTAGGTGGTAGATAGCTTGGAATTATTAAAAGAACATTTTTTAACTTTACAGTATTATTATAAAAATGAAAAATAATTTCGTAATCTTTTTCACATTAAAGTAATACAACTTTATGTATCCCCAGCTGATTAATTTATTATCAAGTTTTGCAGATCTGAGTATTCATTATTGCATATTTTTTTTAATAAATTCAAGCTTTTAGAAACCTATAGAAAATTAGCCTGTAATAGTGCTGTTTTTTACATTCTCAGTATCTACTGTATGCATCTTAATATATTTTTGTAAATAATAATTTTGGTTTGGTTTCTTTTTCTCTCGTCTTTCTTGTCCCCACTATTAATTTTATTCGAAGCTTTGTGATAACAAAAAAAGGTGGTGTTGGTTGAAGCATTTATATGTCTGTTACTGTAAAAGAAAAATAAATAACGACAACACAGACTCTTTTAACAATGCACACTTTAAACTTTTTTTTAAATTGAAGAACATGGAGTACAGCAGACACTCTGTAGTGTGAACCAAAAAAGAAAAACAACAGTTGTTCACATTAAATTAACAAAATAAACATTTATGTAAATATAAAACAGTAATACAGTACTCATAGAAGGACATCAACAAAAAAAAAGTAGAAATGATAAGAAATGAATATGATGTTCACAATATCGAGTGCCTATTGTATCATAATTTCTTCCATTTTAACTTTCGTACTAACCAATGAGTCACGAATAAACAAACAAATTGGAATTAATATTATACAATTATGTTAATTTATAAAGTATATTGGTTGTTTCAAATTGTCTACTATATTTTTGAGATGAATAGAATTTTTCATTCAATTAGAGTTGTCTGTTAAAATTTTAATCAGACAAAAAAATTGAAATATTTAATCGAAGTAAAAGTGATGAATCTTAATTATAATAACATAATTTTCTTTTATATTTCACAGATACATATTTTTAAACGAACTTGTATTCTCAATTAAATGAATTTGATAACAGCTGAATTTGGAATTGTTGGCAAGCATAATTTTGTAAGTGCTTGTAAACTATTCTGAAAAACGATTTATTTTTTATTAGAATAGAACAATTTATACTTTTTCCAGTTCCTTCATTTTCCTCTCCTTTACCTTCTCGTCGGTTTTGTCCAACGGAAAATAGTTATTCTGATAAAAATGGTAATAACGATGCATCGATAAAATGTTACAAGAAGAAACAACAAAATTGATATCAGATACCAAGATATCATACCACAAAAACTGGTAATAAAATATAATTAATCCTATAATACCTACAACCATGAAGTATCTGAGAATAAGATACGAAATTTTACTATTTACCAAGAGCTTCGGCTTGCTCTATAAATATTATTGTTGCAATGTTTTCCTTTAGTGTTTTTATCTTTTTCAGGCTCAAAATTTTCATTTGATCCCAGCATGGATGATACCAGTTCTCTCCTTGAAGACTGCCAGCATATGGGTTCGAAACGTTCTTTGGCTGACACAAGTGTGACATCCACGGCCGATCTATCAGTATTCTCTACCATAACGCGTTCACAAGCACATGAAAACAGTCTCGACACGCACAGCAACGTGTCAGATAACTCAGTAGGGGGGGCAAGTTCCGTAGGATCGGGCATAGTCACATCAAGTGGTGCACATAAACCCTTGTTTTCCACACATTCCACTCCCCGAGCCACTCCTCATAATCCCAGTCCCGATGTCTTACGAATATATGTCCCTTATTCACCTCTCGACACTCCCCTGGTCAGTCCCCATAATGGGGACGTGAAGGTTCCACCCAATACATTCCCAGATAATAAAATACGAATTAGGGTGGATAATGATGAATTGCTAACACCTCTTGTTGAACATGGACAGATCCGGTCGTTTAGAATTGACAGCCCTGAAATTGACTTAAAGTAATGAAAAATAGGAACGTATCTTTCGTTAATTGTTTTTGGTTAAAAGTATTGACTCAGGGAAAGGATTTTTGCAGAATGTATAATGAGTTGATTTTACAAGTAATCATAATAATTAATTGAAAAGTAAGCGACTACTCTTTGGATCGTGCAAAAATGTAATAATAGAAGTTAAGATTTTGGAATTCAAAGTTATATTAACATTTTGTTGTTGTTTATCCTCCTAAATTAATCAGTTTATTAACTTACAAAATATAACAGTACATTCCAATTTTATAGTGAACAGTATCCTATAATTTAATTTCATTGTTTTAGCAACTGGAAAGAAATAAAATCCCAGTTATATTTTAAAAATTTTGAAATTATTATTTCCCTGAGCATGCCAAATTTAGGTGTAGTAATAATGGACATAACAAACTTACGTTAGTGTCTGCTCTGTTTCCATATACATTTTATTTAGTATTATAACAAACCGATTCCTACCTAATTTCTTCATTCCATTTTATTGGTGCCATATAATATGTTCGCTTCAAGGAATTGCATTTTGTATTGCAAATACATAGATTTTTAAAATTATTTGGCAATATAGTATAGTGGATACCAGTATATATTTTATCTTTTGTATTTATTTACTACTTTTTAGAGTTTGTAAGAACACTGTTTTATTTTTTACATATACAGTTAAATTTACAGGTAGTAAGTAGGAGTCTTTTTACAAATTATATTTTCAAGTTGAATACTTGACAATTGTTTACAACATGGGACAGTCAGGCTGAGGAGGTGGGGAATGGGTGGAACGGATGGGGATGACTTTATACAGTAATAAAAAGGTTTTTAGGTGTGGGTAAAGGGGTACAGCTGTTGCATTAATACAATTGTACAATTTGAACTCCAAGCAAACGTCACTCCATAAGAAATTTAACAATGTTAGATTAGGTCACATTAGTTTTTGTTCCAATATTTGTTTTTTCAGTAGCCTCCACTCCTCCAAACATTTTTTTAGTGTTATACAAAATTCATCCCCTCCCCTTACATCCATTTTCTCCCCCTCCAACTGACGGTTCCATATTCCATGTTGTAGACAATTATAGAATACTGTAATGGTGTGTATCCCAAAGCTACTAGTCTTCAGTATGATTTTTTAAATCATTTCTATTGTTGTTCAAGTGATAAATTAAGTCAATGAATAGTTTTTGTTGGTCTTCAATAATGTTAATACTCAGTTGGATAAATAGATTTAAAGCAATTAAAAAAATAATGAAACAAAAAGGAAAACCGTCAAATTTTAGATATAGTGTAAATTATGTATATTAACAGGTCAGTTGTTGTAAATAACTAGGATGTTATTTTTAGAATGTAGAGTTTAGAAGTATTGTAAGTTGATTTTTTTTACTTTACAAAAAATTGATAATTATGATTAATATTTCAAAATATTGTAATTTAAAAGGATATTATTGTTCGTCATTATGATACAGTACTAAAATACATAAATATGTCGTGATATTTGCAATAAAGTATAAAATGTTCGATAGATAATACAAAATGATTTAAAAATTATATCTGCAAGTAATTAACGACTTTTATTAATGACTGTCTTAAAAAAATATACGTATATGTATTTCTTATTTATTTGCATTATGAAAGTTGCAGCAACGATCAAAACAAAAATTGCCATATGGTTCTTTCAAAATTTAGGTAACTTTCGATTTATTCCGCTTTTTTCTTTATGAGGTACATTTTCAATATATTTCGGTAAATGTTGCACCTAAAATTCTGAAAAATCCCTCTGTCCAAACTAATACTGTTTTAAAAATTCAAAAAATATGAAAGATATCTCTAATTTAATCAATTCCATGATAGCAGGTTCGTTTGAAAGGGGTGACGTTTTGTTACCCTCTATAATGAAATATATATATTGTACACTAATAATTTTATTCATTTTTATATTTCTGTTATTAGAAGATTAATTTATGTGTGGCTTCGGTCAGCAAGTCCTCTATGCTAGTTACCACAGACGGAAATAAAAAGTTCCCTGATCGCATGCGTTTCCGTAATATTATTTTATATTCTTGTTTACAGTGTAGGACAATTGTTTCGACCAGAAAATTATACATATAATAAAAAAAAAACAAAAGAAAATATGTTTACATTTGACATCATACATTAAATTCTCCATGTAAAATTTCATATAATTTATTCTTGTAAATTTTCGTAGTTGTGAAAAAAAGTAAAAATTTATAAAAAAAAGAGAAAATGGGTTTGTATAGAACGTTCAAGTAAACCCGTGCGAAGGCGGTGGAGGAAACCAAATGGCCGACGATCGTTTTTTCCAATTTAAAGTAGGAACTTGTAATGGCGCGGGTGTAGGACAAAATATAGAAACTGTTACACCCCCCATGTGTATCGCCAAAGACGGAACTCAGTATGCAGAATTATCCGATCGGAAAAAGGAGACTTTCATCTTGAAAATAAGGAAAAAAGCAGAAGACCCGTGTCAAATGAATAATGTGGAATTAGACCTGTGTACACCGAAGCTTCCCGATCCTCCGCCCGTAAAATGTGATCAAGACACCGAATATGATCCACCGCCTCCCGAGAAAAAAAAGAAAGAAAAAAAAGGAAAAGGCGGAAAGAAAGGGAAGAAAAAATAGCAACATTGATAAATATGGCAAAAAATATCTAGGAACACTATCTCTATGATGACAATAATCTTATACCATTCAGAAAGCGTTATCTTCTATTATCAATCTGTGTTGTATCAATCAAATAAAGTTATCCCTTGTTAATAGTTATTATCATTATACACATTAGTCACCAATTTGTGATAGTGCAATTTCTAACGTTGTAAATGTACAGTTTGGAAGTATTGTATGTTATTACTTTTTTGTTATTTTACGGTTTTAATGCACTCTAATTTGAAAGGATATTATTACTATTGTTATAATACAGTACATAAGCACATAAAGAATGATGACTAGTAACTAAATAATAAAAATATACATATTTATTTATTTATTCTACATGTTTTCGATGCTTCGTTGCGCGAGTCTGACTGTGACTTTACTTAAATCATTTTATCCCTGTACTTTTAGTCGGGTGGACAGTACCACGTGAAATTTTTTGATGTTTTTGAGTTTTTTACACATATAGACCTGTGTACCCATTTTAGTTACACAAGCGTGAACCGCATTATTTTTTAATAACATGCCTATTGCGATATATATCAAGTATTGTATATCATCATAAGGTCGTCAGTCCTAAGACTGGTTGGGCATGTACAGTAGCGGTGTTAGGGTAGGGCGCGGTTGGGCGATCGCCCAGGGCGCCGGACAAAAGGGGCGCCGCAGGCGCCCTCCACTTCATTCTCAAAATTAAGCGGAGAGTACTCGAAATCTTGGTCTTTTTTATACAATATTAAACAAATTCCAGAAAAACCCGACCTCGTCAAGCTCTGTAGTGATCTCCAATTAAAATTAACTGTAGACTCTAGAAAGGCCAGAAAAGTAAAATTTTATTAGTTTGTTTCTAATAAATGGTTATTTTTTATAATAAATAATTATTTGTTTTAATAAATGGTTATTTCATTATATGCTTTCCCTTTTTTCCTATGGGTTTGAATTGTAGTTGGAGGGCGCCGTAGAAATCTCGCCCAGGGCGCTGGTAGTGGTAAAACCGGCACTGGGCATGTACCTCTACTCTTTCCTATCCTGAGCTAAACTTCGCATCTCCCCAAAACTAGAACAGCCCACATCCTTAACTATTTGCGAACAGTAATCTAATCTAGGTTTACCTCTATCCCTCCTAACTCCTGTTTCTGCCTCTAATATGTCTTTGACTAGACCTTCATGCCTGAGAAGGTGTCCTACCAACCTATCTCGCCTATTTCTTATTGACTTCCAGAGAGTCCTCTGTTCTCCTATTCTTTCTAATACCTCTTCATTTCTAACCTTTTCTACCCACGTTATCCTCATCATCCGCCTATGACACCACAACAACCTTTTTCGAATTTCTAAATTAACCGTTCGACACGACCCTGCGCTATCCTCTGCTTTATATCCCTACTACTCCTTCCATCCCGACTTATCTGACTTCCTAGGTATCTAAAATCAGCCACTTCTTCTAATTTCTCGTCTCCTATCTTTATATTCGCTCTTATATACTTATTTGAAAATTTTAAGTTTATTTTCTGCCCTGTAACACACAATAACGTTTCGTTTTACCCCCTCCCTCCCTCTAAACTTTACGTCACTTTTATGACCCTTGGATTGTGATGTAAAATTTTCTAAATAACAACAAAAAAACGAAAGATAAGCTGTTTACATTTGACGTATTCCATAAAACTTGTCACATAAATTTTCTGATTCTGATAGTAGGAGGTACTTGTACGGGGGAAAGTCAGAGTAAGAGAGTAAATGGGGGTTCTTTAAGTAAACTCGTGCCAAGGCGGTGGAGGATACGAAATGGCTTTGTCCTCCGCTTTCAACGATCGTACTTTTAAATTTAAAGTTGGAAATTGTAATGTTGGTCGAGCAGGACAAAATACAGTAACCATTGCGCCCCCCATGTGCACAGCCAAAGACGGAACCCAGTATGCAGAATTATCGGATCCCAAAAGGGAAGTTTTCATCTTGAGATTAGGGGAAAAATCACAAGGCCCGATTAAGGCGAACAATAATGTGGAATTAGATTTGTGTACACCAAAGCGTCCCGAAGTGAGACCTCCGCCCATAAAATGTGATCGAGACACCGAATATGATCCACCGCCTCCAGAGAAAGGAAAAAAAGGAAAAAAAGGTGGAAAAGGTGGAAAAAAAGGCAAGAAAAAGTAATTTTTCATAAACGTGACAGAACAATATCTAAGAACACTATCCTGTTATCAATCTACATGTTGCTTCAATCAAATAAAATTGTCCCTTTCCAAAAGTTTTTATTTTAAATCAGAAGGTTATGGGCTACAGTAGGTTGTCATGCTTTCGATTTGATAATCTGCACAGTTACCGTAAATTCAAAATAGATTTCAAAATTAAAATTGCTGAAATACGACATTATTCCCTCATGGGTATGAATTGCCACTTGATCTGAAGGTGTGGGCAGCCAACTCCCGGGAGGGGGTACCGTACCTTGTTGAGAACTTTATACGGGTTTTTATCATATTCCTGCCCCGAAGGTACGATTCATCTCGAATTCAGGGACGAGAAACTGTGACACAACATTCCAGGTAAGAATAAATCGCATTTACTAAACGGATCTAGAGGAGAATACCAAAATACCACACAATGAACGTCCAAAATACTTTTGGGTAACAAAGTGATCTTTTGGGACTGAAGACAACTTCAGACATTCAGTGTTTTAGTGTTCGGGTTTGAGCTTTTTAGTTTACAATCGCATTTAGTGTTTATTAGAAATGCATGGTAACATTCGCCGCATGGAAACCACAATACCATATTTCCTTTATGTTAATTACTCGAAATCCGATAATACTCTTAATATGTGTCAAGAAACGTAAATGTCACTCAAATTATTTTAGGGTTCATTTTGGGCTTTTTTTACCGGTTTTTAAATCGTATTATTTTCATTATTAAAATGTTTACGTTGCCTCCTTGGCCTCCAAAAGATTATATACTAAAAGATATTTCACAAAATTACACGTCGAATCAAGAGTTTTCGCCTTCTGAGCCACCACGACATACACAGCCGAACGTAGGAAAATATATCTTTCCAATACAATATGGACCAGAGGATGCAGGTCCTTCAACACTTTATTCCAAACCTGGGGAAACGGTTCTTAATAAATGGCTAAAAGATGCAAAAGCTATTTGGGTTGACAAACCTGGTGAAAATGCAGATTTTGTACATGACATTGCGAGAAAATACAGTGTGGTGGTGACGGATACATATAATCCTACTTACAAGCCTATCCGTAAGGAACATTTGATATCTTCAGTTATTAGTACCTACTGTTATATTGCATGGGTTAAATTTAAGAAACAGAGAAATCAAAAGCTATACTGTATGTGATTTCATGTGTCCATTACAGCAAAGCTCATTCCTCGTTCTTATAAATTTGAAATCGACTACATGATAAATACTCGTTTGGACAAGTTGAAGGAAAAGATGGAGCAAGAAGCAAAAGAAGAAGAGCTATGGGTTAAACAGAAGCAAGCAGAAAAAATTGCAAAAGCTACGCAGTTATACAGATGCGACCTTGAACCGCCTGGATGGTGGAAAGAAGAGAAAGATAAGCCGAAAGACACTGTTATACCTATGGTAAAACCGGAAACTGAAACATCGCGAAACGTCGATAATGATCAACCTATTCGATGGCAAAATATGCCTCGGGTATTCGATAAAACGGATCGTACTGCTTGTAAAAGAAAATCGGACATGGCCCTGTAAGTTATTTTTCCAATTATCTGTTTTGTATTTATTATTTAGTAAAAATGGACGTCTGTTCGTCTGTTGATATGAATGATTGCATAAGTGTGATAAAGTTTGACTCATCATCTTAAGGTCTCCAGATAAAAATATAGTAACGTAAAGAAGCAAGGAATCGGTAATACTGGGAGGTCTGACGTAAATTAGACGAAATTTTGAAATATTTAGAAACAATTTGTTTTATTATCATTAAAGTAAAAGATATGATGAAATCTAATAGAAATTAAAAAAGAAATAAGCGTTGTAGATTTATTTTCAAAGGTCATTGTGTTATGCCGGAAATATTAAGTTTGTGCTAAATTATCAAAAAGTCAAGATAATTGTTTATTTAATTTGGTTCTGATTTCTCAAACTTAACACAACACCTTGTGGAACGAGCTCGTTTGAAATGAAACGCAGTTAGGTTTTATTATTGTTCTTAACGAAAAACTTATACACACTTTAAAGAAACGTAGTTTTTGTGTTTCTGTTAGAAGATTAATTCTTCCCTCAATATTTTTCACCTTTTTGCTTACAGTGTAGGACAACCTTTCAAACACGAAGCTTGCAACTGGTATTTTATAAATTATCCGCCGCCAAATGTACCTTTTCGACCGGAGAGATTTTCAAAATAATAACAAAACAAAAACAAAAGAAAAACTGTTTAAATTTGACGTGCAAAAAATTTGTCATATAAAATTTTATGTAACTTAACTTGGTAAATTTTTCGTGACCTGGAACAAAACAATGGATAAAATTGTTACCGAAAATCTTTTTCTTTTGGAATTTCTCGTTGACAAAGTGGACATTCAATGTAACGATCCTTGCATGCCGTGCATGACTGAAAACATCTGCGTTTCTGTACAGTTCTTGGATAATGCCCCGTTAGATATTTGCGAAGACGATTTTCAATCAGCATCTAAATCAGAATGTGGTGGTAAAGAAAGTGTCAAAAGCGGAAAGTCCTGTTTGTTTTCACTAACCCCAGAACAAGCTTGTGATGCCAGTAAACAATTTGATGTTTTTGTTAACATTTATCAGAAGGCCGAACCGGGCGTACTACCAGACAAAGTACCAATTGGTTGTTCATTAATTTCTATTGTTAATTTGTTTAACGAGTTAATAGAGTCAGTTGCCCAGTCCACAGGTCAATCCCCTACTGCAAAAACATTAAAGGACACATTTGAGATTCGAGGTCCAACATGCGAAGTTATTGGCTGTCTTAGCATGTACATTAGGATGTCATGCTTTGGAAAGTTGATCGTTACACAATTTCAAATGAATCTTACCGACAAGACAGTGCTTTTCAAAGATAAAGAAGGCCATTCTTTATACAGATATAAAAAGGCAAAGAAGAGCGGATCAGACGTGTGTTCCAGTCAAAATGGAAGAGGGTCTGGAGCAAGACGTGGACCCTCAAATCCAAACTGCCCTCGCACTCCTTGTTTTGGCGGTGGCGGAGGAGGTAGCTGTCCTGGAGGAGGAAGTTACGGCGGAGGAGGAGGCTATGGTGGGGGAGGAGGCTGCGGTGGAGCAGGAGGAAGTTATGGAGGAGGGGGTGGTGGTTGTAATGGAAATCAGCAATATGATACACCATGCAATGAATGTGGTAGAATGGGTGGACCTGAGCCTCCACCTTGTGGTTATCCGATGGGCAACCAATACGGTGCTATGCAACAGTATACAGGAGGCGCCATGGCACCTCAATTCGATGATCCTCCAGGAAATTACGAGGAAATCGGTGCCTCTATGGGTGGTAATAAGCTTACTTTGCGAGTACATAAAGACAACAAAATCGAGCAAGTTGGAGAATGTGCTGATTCGGGCAGTTGCGCTTGTACAGTGGAAAATATAGGAAAAGGGGTTACAGGAAACGTCCAAGTAAGCCCGTGTCAAGGCGGTGGGGGAAACCAAATGGCTATGTCGCCCGCTGCCAACAATCGTCCTTTTGACTTTAATGTAGGAGCATGTGGCGGGGGTGGTGCACAAAATGCGGGAGGCATGGGACCTCCCATGTGTACCGACAAAAACGGAGCCCAAAATGCAAACTTAACGGATCCGAACAAGGAAGTTTTCATCTTGAGAATAGGGAAAAAAACTGAAGGCGCGAACAAGAAGAATAATTTGGAATTAGAATTATGTACACCAAAAGGACCCGAATTGAAACCTCCACCTCAGAAATGTTCTAGAGATACCCAATTTGATCCGGCGCTTTCTGGGACAGAGAAGAAAGGCAAAGGTGGAAAAGGAGGAAAAGGCGGAAAGAAAGGCAAGAAGAAATAGTAATTTTTGATAAATATGACAAAACAATATCTAAGAACACTATCCTGAAGATGACAGTATTATCATATATCGTGTGTAAAACGTTATCTTCAATTATCAATCTATGTTGTATCAGTCAAATAAAACTGTCCCTTGTCAAAAGTTTTTATTTCCATACACATCAATCACCGATCTATGATAGTGCAATTTCTTTTCAGGGTAGAGTTAATATGCTATTAAAGAAATAGTAAGTAAAACAACAGTGTCTTACGAATGTAGGATGTACCTACATGATAAACTGAGAAATGCTGTTGGAAAACAGTTTACACTCACTCGTCAACAATTTAACTCTATTTTGTATTTATATTGAAAACGNAAATATCAAGAACACAAACACCGAATCTATTGAATTTACATCATATCATAAAAAAGATAACAAATGCACTTTGTTATTTTCTCTTATCTATTACAAAAATAAAAAAGAACATACTACTCTTTGAATGAACTATGACATTTTAAATTATTGCTCAATACAACATTTAAATCGCATTAAATGTTTTAATTGGGACATGACCTAATTATTGAGTGTCCCCATTCGGTTTGGTTTTTTTAAAATCCTTAATCAGGACATAAATTAGAGAGGAACGATATTTAAAAGCTGGCAGTGATCGTGAATGTACCTACATGATAAACTGAGAAATGCTGTTGGAAAACAGTTTACACTCACTCGTCAACAATTTAACTCTATTTTGTATTTATATTGAAAACGGTAACTAGCATAAAATAATCTAGTTTCTCGAAGTTATGTTTGCTGTAAATTAGAAGGCTAGACGATAAAAAGATTGTTGGTTATTAAAATTTAAAACGCTAATGAAATTTAGGTGGCAAGGGCAAAGGCAAAGGCGGCGGCGATGATGACAGTGACGGCGAAGGTGGTAAAGGTAAGAAAGGTAAAGGCGATGATGAATCTGGAGGAAAAGGTGGGAAAGGCGGAAAAGGAGATGGTAAAGGTAAAGACAAAGAAGCAGGATTTGGTGGTCCACCTCCTAACCTTGGACCCCGTAAACCATCTCGTGATTTGGATGATAGTTGTGCAGTAAGTTTCTGTTTAAGAAATTAATTAAACTTTTATTTTTACAATATTCCAACTTAACTTGTATTCACTGAACTTTGAACTAATTTTGATGTGAGTTTCAATACGTAGCTAATACGTTATATGTACTTTTTTTAATAAGTGTTCCAGATGGCCTCGTTTGGATAAACCTTTGTTACCACTTAAGGGAATACTTTATATAACAATATATTTTTATTTTTAGGTAACTTGTTTCAGTAGCTGTTACACGCCATCGTGTTGCCAGTGTTCATGTAAGTGTCATATTGAGGGTTTATTGATAGTTTACTTTCAACTACCAAAATTACCAGGCAGGTATACAGACGCAAGCGAAAGGGTTCTAAGGGTTTTTCATTAGTTATAAGAAATGCTGAAATTTTACTTGAAATGGCCTGAAAAAACCGGTATAATCCAACGATTTCCTTCAAATAAAAGTTTTATTTCATATTATAAAGCGTTTGCTAAAGAATTAGCTTTCATCATCATAAGGTCGTCAGTCCTAAGACTGGTTGGACACGCACTTCCACTCTTGTCTATCCTGAGCTAATCTTCACATTTCTCTAAAACTAGAGCATCCCACATCCTTAATTATTTGCGAACAGCAATCTAATCTAGGTCTACCTCTACCCCTCCTAACTCCTGTTTCTGCCTCTAATATGTCTCTGACTAGACCTTCATGCCTGAGAAGGTGTCCTACTAACCTATCTCACCTATTTCTTATTAACTTCTATAGAGTCCTCTGTTCTCCTATTCTTTCTAATACTTCTTCATTTCTAACCTTCTCTATCCACAGTATCCTCATCATTTGTCTGTAACACCACATTTCGAACGCTTATAACCTTTTCTTTTCCGCCTCGCCCTCTGCCCATGTTTCGCACCCGTATAGCGTCGCGTTCCGAACATACACCTTTAATAACCTTTTTCGAATTTTTAAATTAATCGTTTGCGAGCATAGCGCTGACTTTTTTATTGAAGACGACTCGACCCTGCGCTATCATCCGCTTTATATCCCTACTACTCCTTCCGTCCTGACTTATCTGACTTCCTAGATATTTAAAATCATCCACTAATAATTCTTCTTTATATTCGCTCTTTCCCTACTTTTTCTTCCGTTGCTTTAATTAGTGTTTAATGAAGCTTAATTAATTTAATGGGAAATGAAAGAAATTGATTTGTCTTTATATCTATCTAGTTGTGTTACTGTACATTCTTCTGTACTTTCTAGATCAAAAAAATTAAGTAAGCTCTTATAGCTTGTAATGGAAATTCCAAAAAAGTCGCTGATTTTTTGACGCAAAATTCAATTTTTTAAAACGAATATGACTTCAAAAAATTGAACTGTATACCGGCCTGGAAATTAACTAAGTACAAGTCAAGCACGTTGTATGCATATAATATCGTTTTCCCCCCTTTGTTCCAGACCCTATTTGTTGCTACGATGTGTGCAATGCTTGTGGAAAGTGTTGCAGATGAGTTCTCCAATGCATTTGTCTTTTTTTTTACGGTCACGAATCTTGTTTCGGCAAATAATTTCATGTTTGTTGTTTTGTTCAGTGGTTTTGAGTGATCGTTTTTTATTCACGGTGTTTGTTTTTTTTTGTTAAATTTGATTTTTACTAGGGTACTATTGTAATCCTGTATGTCCTGCTCGTGGTAGGTAATATCGATTTTCTACGAATCTTATAATATTTTATGTTTCTTTTTTTTTTGTAAAGCTGTATATTGTCTCTTCCCTTTCATGATGAGTCTTACTTATTAAAACTGGCAATAATTTTTTTTGTGGTGTCTTAATAAAGATTAGCAAAATTTGGACTATTAATTAAACTGCACTTCGTTACTAATGAATAAAAACTGTTGGTAAATTTTAAGAATAATCAAGAAATGAGCGCGGGATTTCCCAAGCGAATTTCGCTCATCAGCACAGTACAATATTATCAGTCACCTTTTAGGATAAGATCACGTTCAATTAAATTAAATATCAAGAACACAAACACCGAATCTATTGAATTTACATCATATCATAAAAAAGATAACAAATGCACTTTGTTATTTTCTCTTATCTATTACAAAAATAAAAAAGAACATACTACTCTTTGAATGAACTATGACATTTTAAATTATTGCTCAATACAATATTTAAATCGCATTAAATGTTTTAATTGGGACATGACCTAATTATTGAGTGTCCCCATTCGGTTTGGTTTTTTTAAAATCCTTAATCAGGACATAAATTAGAGAGGAACGATATTTAAAAGCTGGCAGTGATCGTGAATGCAATTAATGAATTTGTATTATCTGCATTATCAGCTTGCTTCTTATATCATCTTGTTATATGCACTCGCATATTGCTAATAAATTAGCTTACGATTAATCAGTAGGTGGTACAGTATCTTTTAAAAACTGTTGACCAAACAGAATTACATTGATAATTAGTTGAGAGAATTTAATAAGAACAAATTATTATTAATGTAGCCTCTGTTTAACATCTTCAGTATCATGTGATACACGATACAACTATCAGAATGATAAGAGGAATTTAATGGAACAATCAAACAGCTTCAGGTTTTAATAATTATCTGTAGGTACATATACATATATACAATATATTATTTACATCGATCAGTAACTTATTGTGTTAAAACTGAAATACGTTAGAGATTGTAAATCACATTTAAAAACTTAATTGTATACAGCAGTGGCGAGTAGTGAACCGATCACAGGGATAGTTTACTACAGCGGTTCCCAAATAGTGTTCCGCGGAACCCTGCTGTTCCATGGAAGGGTCGTAGAGGTTCCGCGAGATGATATAGGGAGTCAGCATTTATCACTTCTTCTACATACGGAAGTTATATGGCTTTTTCTAGACTATTGGTTGGACAACTAATTTTTACTTCCGTTAGTCATGTTGAACTATTGCACGATGAGAAATTGATAAAAAAATTGGCGGTAAAGGTCTAGTTGATGGCCCTACGGGGGTGGGGGGATCGAAAGAGGAGGTCTCCTCCACCACTGCACCATAAAAAGTTCGTAGCGGTTTCATCCNAAGGTATATGTATAGCAACACATTCGTTTATGACTAGGCTTTAAATCATCAAGGGTCTATAAATCTGTAGTGTTTTAAGTTAAAATTAAATAATACATGAAATATGCGTCAGTCAAAACTAACAGCGTTAGAAGTGAAACTTTGTATAGCATTTAATGAATTTCACTATTGTTAATCAAATAATATAATGACATTCGACAGTTGAAAAAATAAAATACAACAAACATCTAATACTATTATACTAATCTTCCGGGCTCTTGGGCCTTGATGAAGAGGTCGATGACAACGACAGGGATAGCCGAGAATAACACTTCGAGATAGAAATCTACTGCGCGTTCTCAGCACCTCTGAAGATGTCAACCACAGCCGTTGACGAAACGTTAAGCATCAACATCTCAGTCTCTAGACCAGCGGTTCCCAAATGGTGTTCCGTGAAAGATCGCACGGGTCCGCGGGATGATATAGAAAGTCAACATCATCATCACTCCTTCTACACACGGAAATGAAATGGCTTTCGAGAGGAACAGCTGGACAACCACTTTTACGGTGAGGAATCACAACTACGTTTACAGTGAGATACAAAATATCTCTAACGATAAAAAAAAGCAAATTTGGCTTCTGGATCGAATGTATTGAAGAAAAAAGTTACCTATGAATTTTTTCCTCTTCGAAACAGATTTATCGAAGAAAACGAGTTACAAGTGACTTCATCACATGGATAAAACCATAAATGAGTATCTATTGAACCTCAAAAAATCCTTGAAAAAATATTTAGATAAATAATTAGACTAAACCATCAATGTTAATTGTGCTGGAGGACGAAAACTTGATCGATATTAAAAAACCTCTCTAAAAAAAGATCCGAATCAGTTGATCTAAATTTGAATAACCTTTGCATCGAAGTTAAAGATAAATACCCTGCAGTTGTTGAGAAAATTGTTATCATGGTTTCTTTTTTGGGTTTGTATCAACTTACAGGGGGTCTTAAACATAAAAAAAAAAATAAAACATACTATGAATATTGTTTTTTTGTCGAGATGGGGCTCCGCCAAAAAAAGGCGGGTCAAAAAGGGTTGCGCAGCAAAACTAAAATTGGGAACCCCTGGTCTACCTACTACATGCAACCATTATTGAAAAATACGAAGCGGTATAGAAAATTTCGTAAAAAGTTAATAATAAAGTAGTATAATCCTAATCAATGTAATTTAAAGCTTTTGATGTCTGTTACGCTTTTTTTAAAAGATTTTGAGAGTTCGGTTAGTTTAGGTATTTAGGACACATTCAGGAGCTATTTTCATGTATCTAGACGTGATTGAAGAAATATATTCCAAAAGAAAACATTCCGACAAAGGAATGAGTAGTTCCTATGTCAGGTGAACGTTTTGCTTTACCTGTACAAAACTTTTTCTATTTTAGGTAAAATACATCCTTCGAATATCGACCACACGCAATGTTTAGTAAATGTACATTAATATATAATAGCTAAGAATAGACAATGACAATTTCATTTTACCATTAACACTATTTCTTTTTTCTTGTTCATGAGATATAGGGGGCAGGAGATGTGTTATAAATATCTTACGTAAATATAGATAATATATTTCAAAATATTTCTGTATTGATAACAGCAATAAATATTTACGAATTATTAAGTAATTCTTTAAAACTTGTTAAAGTTGAAATGTTATCACTTCTTTGCGAAATACCTATACAGATGTGCCTATATCTTAACAGAAAATAACTAACTCTAAGAACAAAATGTTATTGTTTTACAAAACCTTTTGTTCAAAACACATTAAAAATATTCAATACATTTAAATACATAATAGGAACGTTTTATAAGCTTAACGTATCAATTGACTTAAAGATTTTGGTACATGTATTATTAAACGTATTACTTATTTGATTTATCACTTTAGTATGTTACTAATATATTATACTACTACCTACTGAAGGCTCCTACACTCTCCTGTAACTTTTTGTGTGGGTTGTTTAAATCAATGTTTTATTTTTGGTCAATTACCTACATTCAATGTTGTGAAATAAAAACAAACAATTACTACGGAAATAAACTGGGGGAAGTACATACATAATACTCACCATAAAACGTTTTACAATACTAATTAAAAATTTCGGTTAATTTTATGGCTGATTGACTAGAAAAATTATAATGTTATGACAATTGAATATAATATCGTTACCATAGTCGTACCTAACCAAACCTAACCTAGGGAAATCACTAGATAATTATACATTTTATGAGCTGTTACAGTTAATGTATCGTTCGAAAGAAACCAGGAGATTCTTGATGTGAAATTATCATTTTAAATATAAACATTTAGATATCGATAATAGTAAGCATGGTCCATGAGTTCTTAACTCAGTCCTCACTTCTTCCTGTTTTGAGTCAATTTTCGCATTTCTCAAATTAGAGTAGCTTATGCCTTTACCCCTCTTAACTCCTATTTCTGCTTCTAGTATGTCTCTAACTTATCCTTTCATGTTTGAAACTGTTTCGCCTATCTGTAATTGATTTCCACACTGCCTTCTATCTGTCTGTCCACGTTTATAATAAGTCTTCCTTACTAGATAGTAATGTTGCTATACAACTACTATATTACACTTCTATATCTATATTTCATCCTTACGTTCTTAAGTGTATTAGCTTGGGTTCTCTTCTTTTAGACAAGAAATTATCAGGGGGCAAGTCAGGACTACAAGGGAGGAGATTAATCTCCGTGAAGCTACATTCCTTACGATCTGACGTAAAACTGACCTCCCAAATTATAATGTAAAAATTTGTGATTTGATTTTGATATCATATTGATGTAAGTTTATGACTTTCCTGTGATATGATACAATTATGATATCACACTGATATAAAATTTGACTTTTATATGATGTTATGTTTATGACTTACATGTTACATACATAATATACAATATGTACATCATGCTGTGACATCACATTATTTTTGTGTGACTTTTTAATGGGATTGATCTGTATTAATTGAATAAAATTATGCTGGGATAAGTTCTTTTGCTAGGAATAACGAATGAGGGTAATTTGATTAGGAAATGTAGGTTGGATACATGATATCACTGTTACATTAGCTTGACTTTAGTCAAGTCACAGTGACGTTACTTGGAGGTAATATGAAAGTAAAAACTCATTTGACATCACAATGATATAATTGTTACATCAGATTGACATCAGGTAAGTCACAGTGACGTTATTTGGAGGTCATATTTACGTCATATATTTTACATCAGAGTCTGACGTCAGGAAGTATGAAATAATGACTCTCATGTGAGTCATCTGTGACTTACAACTTACGTTAAACCTGACTTTGTGTGATGTCATTATGATGTCGTAATTACGTAACTGTGTATAAGTCCTAAAAAATCGATTGGAAAGATTCCCCAAAGTCTCAATTAACTTTTTTGTACTTTTGGGACTCTAACTATTTTTGGTATTGGTTTTTCCCTTTTGGTGCCACTCCATTCAATCCCTTTTGGATGTTAGATTCATAATAAAAAATTAATAAAGACAAGAGTCTCCTTAAACAAGTCATTCTCTTTTATTTACGTTGGCTTTAGACCTTGTTTAGTTAAAACATTATTACAGCTCAGTATTCAATTTTAGACATTTTGTTTCAACTTAATTTTATATTCTTCTAATTTTTCTGGTCAAGAAACTTTAAGGGTAAAAAAGTGTTTCCAAAAAATTTTACCTATTTAAGTATAGGTATCATTTGTTCTACTGGGGTAGTGAAAATATAACAATGTTATAATCTAACATGAGCAGTTAAGCAGCTATGTGATAAAAAGTAAATCAAGGAAGGTTTCGATAATGACTTAGCATTTTGTTAGCGAGATTACTACAATTATTATGTTTTCAATCTATTTTTAGTTTTCGCTCATCCTTTAATGTTTTTATTGACATATATGCATATATTAATGTACTTTAATGTACAATAGTTCAAACTTTTGTAAATCATTGTTTAAACATTAATTAAAGCAATTCCAAGAAAATAATTTACATATTTAAAAGACTATAAATAAATTGCGCTATAATCGGAAATGGAGGAGGTGACCATTAACTTTTAAAAAGTTAAATATATTAAAAGTGCATAAGTGTCTAAATTGATATTTTTTTTATATATTTCTTATTATTTTGTGCAGTTTAATTAATGTTTTAATTGCACAACTAATGTAAAAAGAATCAACAAATGTTGCGAAAATCTTCACATATTAAAAAAAAAAGAAAAAGTGATACCTATATTACAATTTTGTTGTAAGTTCTTTATATTTCTTCACGGTAAATGGAGAAACTTTTTATTAAAAAAAAATTACGTTATTTTAAGTCAATAATTAACGGGGATATCGTCAAAATAATGATTTTTTTAGAGTAATTTTTAGATTGGGGGTAAAAGAGGTCTGAAATTTTAGAGAACCCTCATTTTTTAGGAAAGAAATTCGTACAAAAGTTGCATCATCATTCATCGTCGTGTACTCGTTCCAGGTAATTCATGAAAGGCTTCGTGCGATTGTAGTATAACTTCGGCAACTTTCGGTTTTATTGGCTTCTAAAAGAAAGCGCCAACAACGATGCCCGCGTACTCGGCATTCGTTAGTCGGTGGAGTGAGTATCGTAGTTGATAATCGACTTTTCCGAAGAAAAAGTGTTACCTTGCGTGCCGTCTTCGTAGTTTTATGTAAACAAAAATACGTAACTTCACTTTTTCATTGGTGAATGGTGAGTTTCGCATTTTTTTTCTTTATTGGAATTATAAAATAATTATTGAATGAAAGTGTTGAATTAACCAGGTTTTACATTTAAAAACTAACCTGAGGGTAACTTTTATTTAAGAATTTATAAGATGTGGTTCGTACCGGTAAAATGTTGCATATAAATAGGGGTCACGTTGTAACCACTTTTAGGTTAACTTAACCTAGATTTCATTAATAAGTAAGTTGAAAGCATGCAAACCATTGCATCATCATAGGTACTTTGGAACACGTGCAGGGCAAGTAGGTACCTATTTTTAAATTGCAGACCGATTCAAGTATTCATGTATTAAATCGTTGGGGCATGTTTTTGGCTATAATTATGAGTAATTATTAAAAAAAAAAAATGAATCTATTTTTCAGTACCTAGTATCTAGTACTACCATCTACCTACAATAAATTTTCGTAAAAACTTGTGGTATCATTGGGGGTGACCCTTTTCCGTATAATGCAAAAGAATGCTTGTTCAATTGTTTTTGAGGCATTTATGTTATCATTGGTTTTTCTATTTTGAATGTTTACACGTTTTACCTATTTGCACCTATTTTCTTATCTTGATAAATAAAATACGTAAGAGCTTCGATATAGGTACTACGTAAATGATAACAAAGGAAATGCATTTTAATGTCAATAAAAGTAAAGTACGTACAATGAATATTTAGGTGCCGATAGAGTGTTAGCTCTATCTACTCGCTACTAGGAGGTATAGTGTGTGCTCTACCGACTCGTTAACATTGCAGCATGCGCCCTACCATTGATAAGAAAAGGAATTTATAAAGGGAATGCAAAAAACTGAGGACCTGTGGGTTGGAACAAATTCATTTAAAATTCAGGGGTCTGTTGTTGTTTTTTGGAAAAACGCTCAAACATGTCGATCTTTATTTTTGGTTGCGGGGTTTTTCATGTTAAATTTATGTATACAGGGTGGTCAAAAAATAAGCAAATGAGGCACCTATTTTTTATTACATTGTTATGTATTTACATAGCTATGTTTCATCTACTTAGACCAACTACAAAATTACATAATAGCCAAATTAACTACCCTTTACCCAAATGTTGAGAACCCAAATTTACCAGTAGGTTCGCGAATATTACGAGATTACCTTCCAATATATATACTAAATAGATGGATAGGAATGAAAGGCTTGAATTATTGCTAATGAGATAACTAAACGTACTATGTAGCCCATATTGTATTTCCTACGGTAGAGCAGTAATAATATTCTAAATTTACCCCGTAGAGCACACTACCCATACCGGCACCAATATATAGGTAGATATACAAATGTAAGTCATTTGAAACTTAAAAATGCGTTTTTTTTATTTCGCGCTTCCATATTTAATGAATTACGTATACGCCAAAGAAAACTGATAATCACTGCGTTGAGAATTAAGAATTTTATTCGATCTTAAATTTTTAGCGCACAGAATTATTACAGCGCATTTTATATATGTACAGATTAGATAAATGACTCATATCTATCTTGTCCGTGTAATGAACAAAAAGTTTTTATGCATGAAATCAAAAGACGCCAACGAGTTTTTATACGGTTTCTGTTCAACGACCTACCAACCAACCTATTACAAAGAGTAGTTAGCCTATATCTATCTATATACGATCTAGTGGTAAAGAGGCGCGTACAAGTAAAATAATTTTCACATTAATTTTTAACTTTCTTTAGGTTTAGTTAATAGGTACATATATATAATGCAATGTGGTTAAGGAAAATAAAAACCCAGTTAAATGTATTTGAAGGGTGTAAGGGTTTCTTTAAAAGATATTGAATGGACGTGGTTGACGTCGTAGTCCAGTCAAATGAGGGAAATACTGGAGTACCTAATAATGGAGAAAATGATTGAAACAAGGGTCATTTTATCGGAAATTTCGTGAGGAACACGCATGTGTAAATGAAAATTATTTGCTGTACATACGGGGGGAGAAAATCCTCAAAAACAATTGCAAATTCGATTATCTCGCGAATATGAAAATTCAATAAAAATAACAATTAAATGTTTAAATCGCTATAACTCTGTTAAAAATTGTCCAAATGCATTATTTTTTGCATCAAAATTTGCAGTAGACTAAACGGAACAAATTCGCAAATTATTTTTGTATCTATTAACGGTAATGAGATAGTTATTTAATTGTTTAAAAGAACAATAAAATAATGGTGAATTTCTTTTTTTTCTGAAAAGACATTTTAACCGATTTAGATAAGTTACGAATCGATTAAGTTATCAATTTTAAATTTTTAATAATTATTTTGAATTTTTTAAAAAATTCCGCGAATTTTGAGGCTTCTTTGCCATTGGGCGCGCAGAACCTTTGTTCTGTAAGTCATCAATACTTTTTTTTGCAAAATCGCATTGTGACAAACTTTTATTAAAACTTTTTTCCATATCTTTCATATTTCGATATCGAATTTGCTATTGTTTTTGTGGATTTTATCCCTCCCTATGCAGGGAAAATAATTTTCATTTACATATTCGTGTTCCTCACGAAATTTCCGATAAAATGACCCGTGTTTCGATCATTTTCTCCATTATAAGGTACTCTTCAGCCATTTCCTTCATTTGACTGAACTATGGTGTCATTTTGGATTTCTTTTTGCAGACAATGCTATTGAAACGTCAGGTAACCCCCGAGATCTCCTCCCCATTGTCATATTTCGTCACGCCACCACCCCCAAATCCCCCCTTCTCCCTCGCAGCGTTAAGTGATATATGAGCGGCTGATTATCATTGTTTGCAAATGACTGTATGGTGTGATAAGTAATCTTATTAAACGAGTCCCAACAATGACAGTGTGCAACTGAACATATTTATGATAGTTGTAACGACCATTCCCCCATGTACAATAATTAAATTACTTACGTTTAGGTACCGTCTAGCCGACGCTTTGTGAACGATTTGATAAATTACCTAATTGAAATTTGCCGGGACTCTTTGTGGAGCAAGTTACGATTAATAAAATCGTAACTGTAACATCATCTATGTCTGTACTATTACAGACATAACGTGTAAGCGTATTACTCAAGGATATTCGGTATTATAATAAAAATAATAACGATGATATATGCTTAACTATGAAAATTAAGTGAAGTACAAGTAATAATTTTATGAGGTACGATTTAATACCTAAGGTAATGTTCGTGGGTTTAACAAAATTATTTTCTAAAACTGATAACGACAAAAACTATTTATTTACACTAATTACTGAAGAACTTCAAAACACTATTAAATTATTACTAAACTTAGGTTATGAATTATTCTATTTATTTACACCACTGTTGATATATCACTATTCACTGCGCTATTTATTTCACTGCTATCACTGTCAATTTATTTCTAGATTCACTTCTGCAACGGTCAATTTATTTCTTATCCTCCCGGCGATCGTCTCTTCTTTTAAGTACTCTTTTGTTTCCTTTCCGGAACCCTCTAGAAACATCCGGATCGTTCAGTCTTTCTTTGAACTGTTTAACTGTTTTCCCAGAACGCAGGTACGACACACACATTTACAAATACGGCTCACATGAAGAAAGGCGCGAATCGTCCAGCGGTGCGTTAATCTTCTATTTCGTGGCATCTCTCTACCGGAACTTGGAACATTCGTCTTTCTAAACGAAGCCGAAAAACAAAAATGCATTTGCGTCGGGACGAAAACACACAACTGACCGAAACTAGCCAATTTCACAAGGTGTGTCAGCTGTCATGCCTTTGTCATCCGAACTTGTCTGGTTTCGGCCCGTTGTGTATTTTCGTTATGCCATAAAAATACTTGTTTTGGTTTCGTACAGGGGGTTGAACTTTCGAAGTTTCGGCTCGAGTGGCACATGCACGCGGTATGATACAGCCCACTTTCGTCTAGTGGTGGGTTAATCTACTATTTCGTGGCATCTCTCTGCCTAAACTTGGAACATTCGTCTTTCTAAACGAAGCCGAAAAACAAAAATGCATTTGCGGCGGGACGAAAACACACAACTGACTGAAACTAGCCAATTTCGCAAGGTGTGTCAGCTGTCATGCATTTGCCATCCGAACTTGTCTGGTTTGGGCCCGTTGTGTATTTTCGTCGCGCATTAAATGTAGTAGTTTTGACTTTATATTTAAAGCGTTGAACTTTCGAAATTTCGGCTCGAATGGAAAACGCACGCGGTATGACATAGCCCATTTTCGCCCCGTGATGCGTTAATCTACTATTTCGTGGCATCTCTCTGCTGAAAGTTGGAACATTTGTCCTTCTGTACGAAGCTGAAACAACTGCGTTTACGGCGGGACGAAAAGCCCAAATGGCCGAAATTAGGCAAGTTCGGGCGACAGCTGCCACACGATGCGAAATTGTCTACTTACTAAATGTTTTCTTGTATAAGACTATCATTATGGAATAAATTAATCAACCAGGTAGTATTATAGGATAAAGTACTTTTCAGGAATAGTTTCACCCACTTCTTCCCCATTCGTATATGGTCAATTCCTTAATTTTTCGAATTCTACATTAAAAAAAACCACACGTATTGTAATATTTACTTCTGGTTTCCCAGACTGTTGTGTCTGTAAACAAGTGTGCCACATAGGCGATTATTTTGTTGTAGATTTGTTTGTATGTCATGCCTGGTACTTAATGTTATTAAATAGGAAGATTTGCATAATATACTGCTGACTAACAATTAGCAAAATGGTTTTTAGAAAAGCAACAACAAATTGAAACAATTTTTGTTAATTACTTTGTTGCCATCGTTTTTTGTTGACGATTTAAATCTGATCGTGAATAATAAATATCCATCAAATCAATTTTGCGCAATTAAATTGTGCGAGAGGTGAAATTTGATGCACCTTACCTGCAATAATAAGTAGTTATTTTAATTCACAAGGCCATTTAATCTATCGTAATTGTCACGTTGTTGAACTTGTTACAATATGTATGAAGTGATAAACAAATTGCTGAATAAATTTAATAGTAGTTTG